AAAAGTGATTTTCTCCAAGGCAGAAGATGATGAACTGGACCATGACCTTTATCGAGAATTAACAAGTTGTCTGGAGTTTATTATAAACAGATGCCGATCAAGCTGTGGATCTGTAATAAAAGCTAGAACAAAGAGAAGGTTGCTTCTATATTTACAACAGCCCTGAGTACACCTCTTAAAGTACAGCTGTCCTTGATTTGCTCTTCTTATCAAGCAAAATGAGTTATTAAGAGCAGGAGGTAGGGATTTTTTGATGTTCCCAAACCACTGGAACTCTTCTGTAAATGTAGGAAGAGAGTTTTGATTGCATCGTATTCACTGAAAGAAAAAGACTTCCTAGTGAATTCTTATTAAAAATCCCCCCAAAACCCAACAATTCACTGCAATCCAGTCAAACTAATTCACCTGTAACTAAAATCCCTTTGTTGCCACAATTGTGATTAATGACTGCTGATCCTCAGAAGGAAACATCTCAGTGTTTGGCATGAAAACAATGCTGTTCTAATAGGAAATTCAATTTTTTGTCCCTCCATCGTTTTCAATATTCTCCTGGGATGAGTTACCTGCAGCCGGCATTTCACAGGCAAAGAAAAAGATGGTAAAGAAACTGGTGGCTGTTTCCATGCAGGGAAGACAGGTGGCTATAGGTAATTTTTCAACTGTGCTTTTATCATTAATGACATAATTTGGCAGCAATAATATTTTTCACATTGCACTTTGCCAAGCCATTTCTTACCAGGGCTTTGCAATTTGTTCCAGTCAGCAAGCAAATCCTGGTCTGTATGCGCCCTACTGAGATGCATGCCAGCCAGGTGTTTGGCATGGAAAGCGGTTAAAGAAGGGTTTGCCTCTAAATCTCTCTCTTTCCCCCAGTAGATACTGACCTCAGATTATCACAGGTTTACAGGTTTCTTGAGAGCCCCTGACCATGGCACCTAGTGCCCAAAACCCAAAGATCCTGCTCACCGCAGAAGGCCCAGTTCCAATCTCAGATGCATCGGTGTGCAAGTCTGGAGTAACTCAGCTGGCTAACTTCATTTGGATTTGCACTATGGTATGCTGAGCTCAAGATCTGACCCACTCTGATGCATGGGATCTTTGGGTTTTGGCCAATGGATTCTATGGAAGAATGAAAACCAATGACATCAGGTTAACTGGGATAAGAATATAGCCCAGCAGATGCATCTTTCTTCATTTAAAAGACTTTTCCTCAGACTATGAGGGTCTAAAGCCATAGCCACCAAGCTGAAAACGTGCCATCATGAAAGTCAGCCAAGACCATTTTCTTTTACCCCGTAAATCCAGCTTCCACGACAATCCTGCCAGAACAACACAACTCAAAGTGGAACTGGGAACGCTGGATCGCTTGATGGCCCTGTTGACTCCACAATGACAGCAACAGTCACAAGACAGAGCTAGAAAATGCCAAGATGTAAAACAGACTATGAAAAAAAAATAAAGGAAAGGGAAATAAAAGTTAATTCCCTGAAATCCTTGCGATAAATCACAGCCTTGCTATTTAAATCTCCCATGCTCCAGTTATTCCCTGAAAGTGTCCAAAAGCCAACTGGAAAAGAACCCAAGGAAAATACAGGACTAGCCTGCATTGCACCTGAGTGACCTCACAACAACTTTATTAGCAGGTTAGGAGGGCAGGGAATAGATAGATATTAGGGGAGCTGAGAAACAACCCTCTTGGACTGTTTAATCTCAGGCAATACTTGAGATTTGTCAGCACCATGGCAGGACCCACACATTCACTCGACATACTTCCACACCAAGTCAGATATGCATTGCTGTGCAATTCAGGACATATATTCTCACCGCATGAGTCATGATGGACTCGGGATAGAGAGCTGACCTTGCAGGCCATTCTCCCAAATGCAGCCCAGCACATGCAAAAAAAGGATAAAGCAGGTTTCCTAATAAGTTTTCCTGACAATGGTGTAGGCAAGGAGAAAGAGCTGCACATCCCCCGCCTGCTTTTTCGCAGAGCACTGCAATGCACCCGATCATCTGTGACCCAAAATGAAGTTGCCCAGAAGCACATTTTAAGACAGGACAATGCATCAGCATACTTGCTGCTAATGGAGAATTACAGGGCAAGCTCATTATAATAAGCCCCGCCAAGGGACAGGAGAAGAATTCATTAAAAGAGGGTGCTTGCTATCATATTCATGAAAAAAAATTAGTTTGTGCTGTTGGAATTGCTAGAAGTGGACATTTGTTTTAAACGGGGTTTGCTACAGTAAGCTTGTGCTGTAACCCTTGGTACTGCTGCAACAGCTGGAGGCTTACAAATATCTTTTTAAAAAGCTCCAATTGAGAGCAAAGTGCTGGGAAACTAGTACAATATCCAATGAGAAAATGTTTAACTGCCCAGCTTTCAGTCGACATCAAACTGCTTCAAAGCAGTGATTTTGTGCGTGCTCTTGTGTGTTTAGCTGCGTGAGCAACACTTCCAAGAAGTGCTGATGTAGGCAGAACAGAGCACTGGCAATGATGTTTTACAACCGTGGTGTACTTTTTATAGAGCTTGCTAATATTTAACTCTCTCAAACTTTCTGTCCCCAAACAGCAACATTTCTCCCTAAAAAGGGCCAGTTACTGGGTTATGTTGGCCAACAACAGGATGCGTGATGCCCGCTGTGGCTTTATCACACAGCTTAAAACCTGAATGAAAGCCTCTGCAACCCTCATATTGCTGCTGCTGGAGGCAGATGGTGCATGAGCTTTTCTGCTGCTCTTCCCTCTGGGAGGACCCAGAATGAATGAATTGCAAAGACCAATAAGCTAGAGTAAATCATCACTGCTCTCAGGCACATGCTAAATTCATCATATTCATTATTTGCTATAATGGTGCACAATTCCCAACTATTTAGCCCAGAGTATCTGCATGTGCCTGCCAACCTCTTGATTGGTTTCTGTTTGCATCACACCATGCCGTGTTCTGAATCGGTGTCATCGGTAAATACACGATCATTTCATATTCCTCCCTATACAGGAATCCCAGTCAATTCGTACCCTGAAACACTTGAAGATCCTGAAAAAAAAATGTTATTTCACCTGCAAATAGACAGGGATTGTTTATTTCGGCCAGTTCTCCTGGGTTGCATGTGCCAGGTTATGATAAAATAATGTTCAATACGCTAACTCTTCTAGGATACATGGTCCTGGCTCGGCTTAAACGCTGTCCTATTGTATGTGGCAGGTCCCTTGCGCGTTCTCCAGCATTAACACCATTTGATTCACATAAGCTGGCTACCTGAGGGGATATATTTACAAATATTTTAGTAGTGATCATAATCTAAAAAATGCTACTGCAGGTAGGCCAACTGGCCCACTCTGGGCCTCTATTGCACTGGAGTTTGATCAGTAACAACAACTATTAAACTCAGGTTTTTGGAAAGCAAAGTGCCTCTGCTGTGGCCCAGCAGTTTCAGCACATGCCGTACATTCCTGAACACAAAGTAGGCTTTCTGTTTAAAGAATGGTACAGTTGCAAAGATAAGATAAAACAGAGCTGGAATATAATATTCCTGGGAAATGTCAGTCCCTCGCGCAAACACGCAGGCAGTAATGTAAAGACATTTTGTTGGTTCTAGAGTCAAACGTTGAGATCTCAAGCAGCTTATCTCAAGCACAACCTTCGCCTATAAGGACTAGATGAAAAAAGGCACGCATTCTGCTCAAATTTACTTCAACGTACGTCCAAGCATGGGTTGAAGCGGGGGTAGAATCTGGACCTGAGGAAGGGATTCCCGGATGTGGCCATCTATTAAATATGTCATGAATCAGGGATCAGACTCGGCACAAGCTGGCGAAAGGGCCGCGCAAGGTGGAGAAGGTTGACAAAAATGCAGAATTAGAGGCTCGGTAGTATTACTGCGCTCCGAGTCAAGAAATTAAGCAGTGTTTTGCATACTGGCGCACAGGCAACCATGTGCTGGTGATCAAATGAGATCCATTTGCACAGTACTAGATCCAGCTTTGTTCTGATGCAATAGGTTGGCAGGTTCTGTGTGTCGGGTGGGGGCGAGGGGAGAGAAAGCATTGCTAGTTGTATGCGTCAGAGGACCAGGATTTGGCCTTCTGTGCTTTGAGTCTCCTTTTGGGGAGGATTTCCTGAGCCGGTCCTTTCCAAACGTCTGCATAAGAGCAGTTCTCCCAAACTTTTGGGCTTGTCAGTCAGATGCCAGATAGTTTGAGGACACAATCACTAGGCCAAACAACTTGCTTCTGTTGGCTCATGTCCTACTTCATTTTTGCTAACTCAGCCCAATTGATATCCAAACCCGAAGCCTCACCAGCCGGTGTTCAGGAATAAGGCCCTCACTCCTATTCCCGGGAGGGCAGTCAGGCCAAGGTGGGACATCCCTCCCGTCAAATATTTTTTCATGAATTCTGCCATTCACTTGCCTTTCTGAGACCCTGATTTTTCCCCTTCTTCTGTATAGTGAAGAGAGGGAATGTCTCAACAGAGGACAAGCCAGCCTCGGTTTTGGACAGTGCCTTGTCCCCACTCACTACACCGAGGGGGCTGGTTTTCCCCCTGGGTGGCTGTCTTGGCCGAGCTCTCAAACAGAATGGCAAACCGGCTTGTAAACTGTGTGGATCCTTCACTCCCTTCTCTAGGGTTTGGAGGGAGGTGTGCCACCAGCATAAGGTGCCCTAGCACCCTGGTAAAGGCAGTACGCGTGCATGGCATGCTTTCCAACAGGCAGCCTTGGGGGCTGGAGGACACAGAGCAACTCGAATTTCCTTCTGCTGCTCGGAAGTGGACACCCTAACCCTCCATTTTACTTTAGCGACCAAGTTTCTAACACTCTTTGCAACCATTAACACTGCCAGAAAGATTAACGGGGATCACACTTCTACTACTTTCTTTGCACTTCACTTTGACAATGAAAACGCACTTTCCGGGTCTTGTGCTTTAAATAGATTTCAGACCCAAAGTCCAAGCAGCCAGGCTGCAAATGCTACGTGGAGATCGCTGTTACCTTAGACCAGTCTCCTGTTTTCCATTCGTAGCAGCCTGTGTGATCTTCGCACTCCTCCACGTCCCTCGGCCTGGTGGCTGCGTCGCATTTTCCTTGCGAATTTGTGCACGTTACTGTTCTCTTCTGGATGCCCTTGCCGCAGTCTGCCGAGCACTGAAAAACAATAAGCATTATCTTCAGCTTCTGTGTATTGTGCCCGCTAAGAAACAATCAGCTCTCAACTCAGCTTCGACAATAGAAAAATGGAAATTTTGCTTCAGGAAAAAAATGTAAACTTTCAAAGTTTTATTATGTGGAAGTGCTTTTGTGGCATTTTAGTCCCCCCTCCTTGCCAAGTCAGGACATTCCCAAACACATTGGCAACATCTTTTTGTTTGCAGACATGTGGGTTTTGGATCAAACAGAGAAAAGCAAAAATGAGTAACACATATATTTTTTCAATGAATGGGAATAAAAAAATCAATAAAAGGCAGGGCTTTTGAGAAGCTGGAGGTTCTTTAAAATTTTTTTTGGAAAAATGGCTACTTTGCAACCAAAAAAAGATCATCTGAAAAATTTAAGTCCGGTCCATACAGGACCTGGTGTTGTATAAGGTGACTTTTAAAACTGTTTCTTTAGCAATTTTGTTCTTAATACTGAGAAAGGACCCACTGATCAAGGCATGTACAATAGGGAACCTGTCACCTCCCTTGAAATCTCAGGAAAACTTAATAAAACTTTTTAAAATCACAATGACACCAGTCCAAATCCTTGGGAACATGGTGTGGTTAGTGTGATCTTGTAGTAAAATTGTTCAGAAAACCCTGCACGACACAGTCCTTCTATCACACACCATGCATGGACCTGACTGATGCTAGTCACTGTGCTCTCACACCTGTGTTAGGAGCAGATGACAAAAATGTGCGCGCGCTTCTCTTTTTGTTCAATAAAGCGGATTTTAGCGGATGTTACTTCTAAAAAGCGGCCGATCACACAAACCGTATGATCCCAGGGTGGTATTCTTTCAGCCTCCTGCGTGCCCCGCTCTGCCATTAATTTAAAACGACGCCCAGCAAGCTACAGCCACGCACGGACGACCAAACAATCGACAGGGATCAAATGCAGGCTCTTCAGCACCAGAAGGCCGTAACGCTTCTGCTTTACACAAGTTGGGAGCTCTGGGAGAAGGCAGCTGGTAGAGTTTCAGAGAGGAGCCGCAAGAGGGAGACATGATTACAAGCATTAGGATGATGAGATCCACGTGTATGCAAGTGGGCAGCTGTGGTCTATTTGTTTTTTGAACTTCTTGACTTCTATGGAAGTTCTGCCAGGGCTCCTCGGGGCATGGGAATATTTGAGCATCCATTTCCTACCCAAGCCCCTGGACACCTGGAACGGTGGTCGGAAAGTTTTGCCCCTACTTCAGAAGCTCTCTGTGGGACCCGTCGTAGGTAGGAAGGGGGCGGCGTTACAATCTCAGGACTGAAAATCACTGCTTTTAATTACAGCTTCTCCAGCAAAGAGACAATGGAACAAAGGGACATTGTTATCGCTGTCTGAGTTGTGCCAACGAGCAGCAGCACGTCTGGTCTTCCTACACCCCATTTTCCTGCCAGTGCAGTGGTTAAAAGGAACCCCCCCCCAACCCACTGGGGACAGGTGGGTCGAAAAATGATATATGAACCAACTGAGATAAAGACTAACCTTCTCCAGAGCGTCAAGTTCTCCCCCTTAGGGGATCTGCATGGAAAAGACAGTTGACTTGACACTGAATAAATAGTGGAGATATGAGATACGCTGTGAGGTCTTTTGAAAATATTCCAACAAACTTCTCCATTCAGGGGGTCTATGCTGGGAACAAGCATCAGCTTGATATATGTTACATCGACTGGACAAATCTCAGCATGCCTGTCTAACCGTCTTGAAAATACAATCCAGGCAGTTGTGACCTGCTGGCCTTGTTGAGGACATGAATGACAAGTGTTTATGAGCTGGCAAGCAAACAGATGTGCCTTTAAATACTTCACCGCAACTATCAAGTGGCTTCTTTCAAAAAAGAGAATCCTTACATTTAATTTACTGTGCACTGCTCCTTTGTGTACCCTCCTTACGGATGCAATGTCTTTATAGTGAACACAGTCCTGGGATTCGACCAGTTGCTGGGATGATGTCCTTCATGCAGGGCAGAGAGCTCCATGAAGGACATCATGACAAATGATGGACAAATTGAGGTGCTGGACTCCTTTGAGCCCTGAAGCTGGAGCTTTCCAGGTGTCATGGAGCTGCCCTGCATTACACAGGATTTCTTCAACTGTGGATTAGTATTTCCCAGAGACATGCAGAATGACATGAGGGAGCAGAATAACCTCTTCAGGGTTGCATCCTCTCATCATGAAGTCCAAAACATATATTTTTAGCTTCTCAAATGAACCAATTTACCAAAAGTAATCCAAGCTGAAGTAGCACCATTTACAATGTAAGAATTGTACAGCAAGGGAAGTTTAGGTTGGATATTAGGACAAAATATCTCACTAGGAGGGTGGTGAAGCATTGGGATGGGTTACCTACAGAGGTGGTGAACTCTCCATCTTTGGAGGTGTTTAAGATGCAGGTAGACAAAGCCTTGCCTGGGATGATGTACTTGGGGCTGGTCTTGCTTTGAGCAGGGGGTTGGACTAGATGTGACCTCCTGAAGTCCCTTCCAGCCTGAATTTTCTGATTCTAACTTTCTCAGTGGAATTTCCTGCTCTCTGGAAAAAGGCCACCAAGTCTTTCCTTCAGTGGTTATGTCCTTCACACATCCACACAACATTCACTATCTATGGATGACATTATTTTTTGTTAAAAAAGGTGTCAGGCTCATGATGGGAATACATGCAAGGGTGATACATCAACTATCTCCTTTCTAATTTCATACTGCTACACACATCTTCTGACCTTTAATAAGAACATTTTTTTACATACTTTTCCCAAAGGTTCTAGGTAGACAGAGCCTTCTGGTCTAGAAATACTTGCAATTGTTGATTATTTCACCTTAAATTCATTAACAAATCTACCTGGACAAAAACTGAAATTACTGTATAGAGAAGAGGGACAAAATCTGAACTTGATACAGCCCTGTTGGCAAACATGTAGCACAGGCCTCTTCATATGAGGAAATGAGAACATTTTTCATCTGATTCTACCCTACCTCCCGAATGGTAGAAAACTTCACCTTTTGTAACTACTCTCTATTTTTGGTCATTAAAAATGGATTGAGCAGCACTTTATCCAAAATAATTCCAAGTGTTTGGCACCAAAAAGGGAACTTAATTTTTTTTCCACACTAAAGATTGTCTTGGATTTAGCTTTGAGAACGTGTTTTTTGATTGGAGACCAGACTTCAATTTGCTCGTTATTCAACTATTTTTGTTTTGTAGCCAAAAAACCAAAATAATTCATGAGAAAACTGGTTCATAACATGATATCACCATTGCAATATTGCATTTTTCCACCACCTCAGTTTAAAATTTTAAAGATTTAATTGATTTTCAGCCAAAATGCTACATATGTGCTTAAACTTCCCAACATGACTCTGGCCTTTATAGGTTACCTGGTGGTAGCCTAAAATGGGCCACCTGACAGCAAAAACATGTCTAAAAAGGATTAACCTCAGAAAACAATTGGCTAGCAATTATAAATCCCTAAACTGTAGAGGAATTTAATAAAGGAAAAATAAATCTCTCACTTCCATACAGTTTAGGATACATATTTGTGATGCAACTGTTCAGCTGACTTGTGCTCTGATGGATCCCTTATGTAGTTTGAATTACACTCACCTACCAAAAGGAAGATGCAGACACTTTTCTAACTGAGAAAGGGATCTGTGACAAGAGGACACATCTACTTAGAAAACAGGAGGAAATTTTAGGAGGAAACCATGACAACAGCACCATCATAAAGCAGCATTGCTACCACTCAGCAGGCCCACTACCCAGAAATGGTTTATTCCTGTAATATATAAAATGTCCTCGAGCCTGGACAGATGATATGACAGTAGTATTAAAAAAACTGCAGACAATAAAAATGCAAACTTGGCTTCTTCTCTCACCTGGTAGAGAAGGATCTGGTAGGGAATCAGGGGTGAGACTCTACCAGTGAGAGCAACACCGGTTTGGCTGTTTGTCTTCATCCATCCTTAGGTGACTGTACTATGAACCCAAACAGGCTAATACCTGCTCCCCTGCCATCTGGCGGCAAGGGACTGTAATCACTGCCTACTGTGTGAGCAGGACGTCTGGTCCTCAACCTGGTATAATTTACATCTGCATATACTGTAAAACCAATGCGAGTTATGCTCAGTTTTACGTTCATTTGCCCATGCCCTCAGTGTCTTTCTCTACATGGGAATGGGAAAAAGAGATGCAAGGGGTTAGAAGAAAAAGAGTCTCTCTGAAACATTAGCGAGTATGAACAATGTTCCACTGAATAATCATGTACAGGCTTGGGACTTTAAACCCTCACCTGTCAAACAGGAGACTTCCTGCCCTGCAGGTGATTACAGTTGAATAACAATGCCCCTCTGTTAAAACCACCCCCCCCATCCTTTTCTCCTGCAAAACAGCCGGGATCCTACAGTTCTGTAACTGTGAGCCCAGTTGTTAGGCCACTATATTGCCAAAATTATTCAACATTACACAGATTGGTGGGGGAAGAGCAAACTATGGAAAACAGGGAAAGGAAAGAAGCACCCTTTCTTCACAGATTTGGGGTATGCCCTGGAACACAGATGTTCTGGAGATACCTCAGTGCAACACTGAAGACGATCGGGTCTTTTTTATCGCTAAGATAAATTTGGCAGGTTGCGTATCCACACTAATGTTGAACTCCTACAAGTGGCTCTGCAACATTTTCAGACTTGGTTGAGAATCTGAGTGTGGAAACTTGTTGAAGAAACCAATTTCCATGAGGTTTAAAGGATAAGAACAAACTCAGTTAAAACACAGGCTGGCATCTTGCATATATTTCTATACCTGCGGGGGTGTAGGTTGTAGCCGTGTTGGTTTAAGGGCATAGGCAGGCAAGGTTCTTTGGGTGAATCTGGTACCTTTTATTAGACTAACATAATAGGTGGAAAAAAATATTTTCCACCTATTTAAGTTGGTCTAATAAAACATATCAGATTCAAGCAAAGAACCTTGTCTTTCCATACCTGCGGCAGGTACTGGTCCAGTGGATCCTGTTTCTTGTTCCTGGTCCACTAATTGTTAGGTGGAATTGGTAAGTGATTTCAATCTGGCTCGATTTTAACAAAGAGAATGCAGGCAGCATTTTACTTAGCATAAGTCAATGCAGCAGTCATCAATATTTAACAGCCATATGCTACTGTTTGCTGTTTATAGTGGGGTGGAAGCACTGTTGCAGCCCTGATGGTTCAGGGAACACATGACAGGCAAAGGTTTTTTCTGTGATATCCTTTAATGGATGATCTGTATAGTTGGGAGAGTTGATGGACAAGGTGTGAGGCATACAGCGCCCTTCTGCTCTGTGTCAGGCAAATGCTGTGTGTACAGACATACCCCAGGTCTTGTATCTCAAGACACACATACGGAGGATGACATGCTCAAAAAATTGGTGCTCGCGACATTGCAGGTGCACATACAGGAGGTGGGTTGAGGCCTAAATCATATCCTGGGTCCAATTAGCACATGGGACCCCACTGAGCTCATCTGCCCACAGGGGGAAGCCATAATGGCCAGGGAGATCATTAGACAATTTTCAGACTTCTCTGATATCCCCCACTCCAAAAATATTCTCACCGTAAACTCATCTCTTAGCTTCTCTGGATTATTTTAATTATGCAGATATTGTTTCCCTTTGTTCCACTGCTGATATTGAAAAGCTCGTTATTCTGCTACAAGATGCTTGACATTTTTATTACACATGTAATTTCTTTCATGTGTCTATTCCTCTTGGGAACGCTGTGAAACACATGGCCTGACATAATTCCTATAAATTCATGTATAAAATAGCAGCTCAGTATTTGCAGGACAAAAGAGGTGTTTCCTTATGTCCAAGCTAGATATTTTTTGTTTGCACTTTATTTTTAGGACACATTAATAAATACCTTGAGCTAAGATTCAGAAATGTTTTAATAGGCAGCCAAGAAATTATTGCAAGTTGCTATACAATCAACAAGGTCAAGAGTTTGCTTCTTACCATCTCTGACGCATGCTACCGATGCCTGTAGCAGACATAAAACTGCTACTGATAATAATTTCTTGACCCTTTCATGCTGTGTATAAATGTACCCGTCATATAAACTGCAACCATGTTTGCTAGATTTATGGATCCTACAAGCTAGGGAAAAGAAAAATCCAAAGGTTGGGTGAGCTAGAGCACTGACAGTGCACTTATCCAATGCTAATTTCATATTCCAGATGATCAGATCCAAAAGACCTGACACATTAGGTGAACTCCCGGTCATGGTGCAGCAAAATGCTTCTCCTTCACAATTGTGGTTGAAGACTATAAAGACACGTATAATATTGCCTGGTAATAGCAATGAACCTCAGCAGGGAACTCAGTGGTGCAGGACGCACCCCTCAGCTCTGTACAGATGATCTAAATTAATCATTGTACCAATTGCCCATTTAGCCCTGACCCTACCTAACACTTAAGCATGTGCTTAACTTGCAGCACTGCTGGATCAGGCCCAGAGCACTCGGCACCTGGATTTCTGCATGCAGCCTGGTTCCCCCTTGAGATCCAGTTCCTACCTTGGACCACTCCGATGCCTCCCAGATAGAAAGGCAGTCGCGGCCCTCGCAGCTCTGAATCGTTGCTGGTTTGTGGCCAAGGCAGTAGAGGTCTCTGGTGTTGACGTAGGTGCCGTTCTGCAACTGGTACACACAAGTCACTTCCCGGTGCTGGATGCCTTTCTCACAGGTGGCCGAGCAGGGGCTCCAGTGGCCGGTCACCCATCTGATAAGAAGACAGAGAAGAAACGTAAGGAGGATGGAGCCCGGCTCTGTGCTTGGGATCCCTGAGAAACAGGCCACCCATCCAAGGCCCAGACCGCACAGAACCAGGAATTACAAGCATGCACCTTTTTCAACTAAAGTCTGCGGGACGCTGGAAAGGGCCCGGTGGGTGGCCATCTGGCGCATGTGCTAGTGAGTCTAATGTGCTCAGCATTCCAGCCACTGCTCCGTTTAACTCATAGGAGACTTGTTTGCAAAACTCCTTTTCCACTGTTCAAGGGAAGGCAACCCTGACTGCTTGCAAGTAATGCCTCCCTAGAGCAGCACCTAACTGAACCACTGGTGTAGCCCTGTTGGTTCTAGCTCCCGTTCAGAGTGGCTGTAAATACTCCCCTTCCCAGGGCTCTGTGTCTGACTGCCTGTTTGATTAGGACACTGTCTGTTTTGAAGTTCAGAAGCCCTAAAAATGTTGGCTAAAGGACCACGTTCCTCCTATTAGCATATAGGAGCTTAACAGCTACAGCTCAACCAGTCTTTAACAAGACAAGATTACACTTCCCAAAGGGCTCCCATTGTGTTGATTCAAAGCAGATGTGGTTCAAACATTCGAATCTGGATGACTTTTCTCCCCTTAAAACATCCTCCATTATTTTAAGGTTGCTTCCTCTTTTAGCTTGTTTCTAATGCCATTGTTTCCCCTTAACAACAAGCTGGGCTGAGAGTAAATGAAGGTTTTTTTGAAGGTCTGTTGGGCAACTCTGGCATGTGCTGGGACTCCTGCAAAATATGGAGGGTGCTGATGCTAAGAGTCTTTACACAGTTTAAGTAGGCCTGTGACCAACTCACAGAGCCTGGCTTGAAATCCATTAAGGTCAATGGGAAATAAATCTAGCCCCTCATGTGGAAAGTCAAGCATGCACACTAGTCTCTGCCAGACCAGACCCAAGATCAGCTCCAAGATGAGGCTTTTTTCCTCCTGCAGCTGTCGATATTCTAGTCGGAGGCAGATCTACCCCCAAACTAAGCACAATTATGGGTAGAGCTGCTCTGGGGAACAATGTGATAACACATCTGGGAAGAATCTGGGTTTCAAGGTGGGCGGGGGGTCTTTTATAAATACATAAAAAGCATCCACCTTAGCACTTCCTGCAATCTGGCAGTGAGGAAGATGTTCCCTCTAATTACAGGCATTCATGGACTGAATGAAAGCCTGGAACAACAAGGGGCAAAGGCAGGTTTCTCTGAGAGTTGGTTTGCTAGGCTGTTATTGAAAACGGGGAGGGAGTCTCTTCCTCGTCACCTGACTTCTAGGTTACTAATGGCCATCTGTGGCTCAGAGAAGTAAGAAGATTCCTCAAAAATGTGCGGCGAGCTCTAACAGGCGGGAGCGGGACGCATATCAAGACTCTTCGGAGCATGATTATTTTTTTTTAAAGTTGCTTAAAAGTTTACTTTTCCAAAAGGAAGGAAAAGAAAGCAGAAAGATCAAATGCTGCCGATCTTCAAGGGAAAAACCAAGAACATTACAACAAGAGTTACAGACACACAATTATCCCATGTCCTCGTTGTTAATCCATTTGTCAACTGCTGTCAGGGACGAGCACGGTGCTGGTGAGCTGAAGGTCACTCTTGCAGCTAAGGCAGAAACCACTTGGTTTGAGAAGGGCACGGGATGGGTTGAGATATCATAGATTGGCCACCCGCTGTCTGCCGTGAAACAGGGGCCTCAATCAGATGTTTCTGTGTGTTAAAGCAATGGACAATAAATTGGTGGTGAAAACGGCCTGGGAGACATGAAAAGGATTTTGCTGGATGATCATTTTGGAGCCTCTCCTCATCCTGGTATTCTTCTAATGGAATGGGAAAATGCCAGCTAAGTCATCTGATCTGGAGACAAGAAGATGGACAAGACTAGCCTGGCCCATGGAGGCTATTAACCAGACTCCCACTCATTTGACCAAGAGCTGGGGGCTGTCACTGCGCAAGAAGTGGAAGGGCCTAACTGGGCAAAAGAGCCGGTCACCGAAGGAGAAGATGAGGAGGAAGGAGGCCACGGGGTCAGGAAAGCAGCTGTTCAGACCCCGTTGAACTAATGTCCACATCTGACTGCAATCTACAGCAACTGGCAAAGGAAGAAGAGGAAGGGACTGAAAGCAGAGGAGAAAATCAGAGATAAAAATGCTTTCTTGGCAGAAGCTGTCCTGACCATGTTCCTCTGGGATGGGTGGCTTATGGACTGCCAGTTATTTCTGAGATGCTGTCAACAGTGAGGTCATGGCCTGACTTCAGCAAAGGGGAGCAGCGGTTTTGGTGTTTTCTGTTGCTTTGAATGAGAGAAACCCACCTCCTTTTCCCCCCTGCCCAGCAGGTGGGACATAACAGTGTGGCAGGAAACTGCCATGTAAAAGAGTGAACATCACTGGTACGAGAAGAATCAGCACAAGGCGCCTGATCCAGTCCCCAAGCAAAGTCAGGGGAAAGGTGGTGGATCAGGTCCTATTATGCATTTCAAATGCGGCCCCTAAAAGTGATCTCTGATAGCAGATCCAAGTAGTAGTGATGAACATAGATGTGATTTCTGATCTGGTTTGGGACTCGAGGGCTTATCAGATGGCTACAAAGAAGGCAGGAGCATTATTTTCACATTGTCAAAATAGGAAAGAAGATGAAAAGCAAATAACAATGGGCAGGTTTACAGCACCGCAGTGTCTTGACCAGCCTTTCCCAAGCATGCCCTGCCCACCTGCTCCTGCACGTATGCTCCAAAACTGAGACACGTTCGGTGACATCCCTCTCTACTGCTCTCAAGATGCAGTTTGGAGCCTGCTTGAAAACAGCCGCTGGAGCTGCTCTCAGAGCATCTTTGCTACCCTTTGAGTGTCCATACAACAGCAAGTGGACAGGGCACGTGCGGGGCCATCCCGCCCAGGACATCTGGTCCCCAGTCTCGACAGACCCAATGTGATCACAGCCAGGAAATGGGCTTTCCCTCGATGAGGGAAATCCATTTAAAATCAACTTATTTAAAAAAAAAAAGCCCCTCATGGAAGGGCAGGGCCTCCGCGAGTCTCTCTGCCCCATTTCCCAGGGAGCACGATGCCCCTGCTTCGGGATAATAGGCGAGTTTCTCAATGACCCGTGTAGAGAAGTCATCTGCTTGCTTGCATCGCTGCTCTGCTGGAAACGGGTCAATGTGACAGCATCTGTCAGACTGCGCAAAAAAAGTTTGGCACAGGAAGTGAAGCTGTCACATTTGAGGGGGTTTTCTTCCTCCCTAATTTCAAAAGAAAATGAAAAGTCCTATTTCTCCTGTCACTGCTGTTGTTTTTGTGGTTGGGCTTTAACTGTCAGCTTGGCTACAAACCACGGACGTCTTGGAAAGCAAAACCAGGAGTTTTTGTCCAGGTTTTACGGTGGACTAGGATGCTACCTTCAACACTAGCTTTCAGCGAGCCCCACCTGGGCCATCAAGTGGGCCGCACGGTGCTGAGACAGCAGTCACCTATGCACTGTTGTGCTGGCACAAAAGGAGGGATTTATCCCATTGAGAATTCGCTCCCTGCAACGCCCCCCGGCATATGAAGTATGGCTGGGTTCAAATGGATGCGGCATGAATATCTTCAGACTCCAGCCAGTCTTGCCTGCTGGAATGGTGCTTCGGCACTGTGGATAGTCAAGCATAAGTTATAGTGACATGAAGGCTGCTCTAGCTTCAAGACTGGAGCTACTCCTTAATAGATGGAGACAGCTGTCCTAATGCCACCATTGCCCTCCACCACATACCCAGCTCCTCTACTTGTTTGCCACAGAGCACCTCAGCTAGGGAATGAGGTCCATGATAGCTGACATTACTCAAGACAGCCAGATGGGTCCTTATTGCTCTTTTAGCAGTCTGGTGCTTCCCTTACTCCCAAACACTAAGGCATGTATTTGGTCAACATCCCATTGCAAACCAGTCTCTTCATATAGTCCTACAAGATCCAGGAGCACTAGGGAACACCTAGCACTCAAGGTACTTACAGTCTCCAAAAGTGAAGGGTTGCTTTTACTGAGAATATGAGTCCAAATGCACTAACACTAATGCCCTCCCATCTGGACGCAGGGATGAACTTTTACAATGGCTCTACTGATCAATAGTGTTCAACTTACTCTTTCACTACAGACTATTTCTAGGGCTGATTCAGCAACTTATTTAGCATGTTTTAAAGGGGGACATCATAATAATAGCTTGCGTGTGGGCCAAAACTTTTGCCTGGCTTGGACTACACGATCCTCAAGATCCCTTGCACCTCTGTGCTTAACTGAAATGACTTGCCCAATGTCTGACTTGTAAATCACATCTCCCAGTCCTCTGTCTTGGGCCTTGACCAGAACTCGGTTGCGTTGGACTTCACCGCTTCTGTACATTATAACATTTCACAGTCGTAAAGAGGGTGCAAGTAGTGTGCTTCTGCAGCAGCCTCAGGACCATGCTTCTCAAGACTGCTCTGCTCATCTGCTCCTGTTCTGCGTGTGCTAACCCTGGAAATAAGGACATGAAGCTGCCTCCAGAGCTCCCCTCACCATTCTCCATCTCCCAAGTTCTTGAGATTGGTGGTGAGCAGGCAGAAACCACCTCTTATTCCCTTTGACCTGTGCACAGAAAGCAGAGCTGAGCAAGGTGTGCTTAATAGCAGTGCTTTGACACTGCTGCAGAAGCAGGACAGATATGTCCAGTGTGGCCCAGTTTCTGTTGAAAGCCAGAGGAAAGAGATGCTTCATTTCCTTTGTGACTAACAACCTCCCCCTAATACGACCCTTAGCATTTCCACAGCATCTCTCATCTGTTGGCTCCCAGAGTGGGCTAGGATCATTCCCTCCCTTTCACACGAGGAAACTGAAGCATGACGCAGTGTCTTGGCTGCTTATTAAGGGCCTTGTCCACTCAAACCCTATGGACAAGGCCAATTTTTTCCCCTAAAGGAGCCAACATGCCCAGCATCCTTCCTCAAGCTCAGGCTC